AAAATTGTTTGTCCTCCCCCCCCCTTTTTTGAACTGTGAGCCGCCCTGAGTCCCCCCAGGGAAAAGGGCGGCATATAAATAAAGGGAAAATGAAAAAAATGAAATGAAAGATGTTGGTTAAGTGAGTTTGCCCCACTTGCTGGCTATGGTTGTTAAGTGAATCACTGCAGTTCAGTTAGTGACACGGTTGTTAAGTGAATCTGGTTTCCCCATTGACTTTGCTTGTCAGAAGGTCACAAAAAGTTATCACATGACCATGGGATTTGAAAAAGTTTGCAAAAACTGATCACGTGCCCCCAGGACACTGCAACCATCATAAATATAAACCAATTGCCAAGCATCTGAATTTTGATCATGTGACCATCGGGATGCTGCAATGGTCATAGGTGTGAAAAATGGTGATGTCACTTTTTTCTGTGTCGTTGTGACTTTGAACAGTCACTAAATGACTACCTGTACAGTCAGTCCACAACATACAACAGTTCATTTAGTGACCGTTCAAAATTACAACGGCACAGAAAAAAGTGACTTACGACCATTTTTCACATTTACAATTGTTGCAGCATCCCCATGGTCATGTGATCAAAATTTGGCTGTTTGGCAACTGGCTCATATGACATTTGCAGTGTCCCGGGGTCACATGATCCCCTTCTCATGAGCAAAGTCAATGGGGAAGCCAGTTTCGGTGCTGGCCAGGAGAAAACAGAAGGCGAGTCTGTAGAGGAGGCAGGTGCGTGGCTCTGCGATGTGCACTGGGGAACTGGGAAGGAAAGCATTTTTAGGTTGCAGCGCGTGCTGGAACCGCCTGTCACCTGAAACACAATGCACTTTTTTGGCCTCTGCATGCACCCTTTTTGGAATCGGGGAGGGATTGTGATGCTGCTGCCCAAAAATGCTTTGGTTGAAAAGGCTTTGAACGCAATTCCCCGGGCTGCTTTGGGAATCAGGCTCTATGTGAAAGTGAGGACCCCTGCCGCATGGAACCACACGAAAATGTGATGCGTGGAGTGGGTGGGTGGAGTTACATTTGGAGTATAAGACGCACCCAGATTTTCACCCTCTTTTGGGGGGTAAAAAGAGGTATCTTATAATCCAAAAAATATGGTAAGTACCAGGGTTGTTGTGGAGAAAAACACAAGAAGGGAGGGCTGTGAACGCTGCCTTGAGTTAACAAAATAACAAGAGTTGGAAGGAACCTTGGAGGTCTTCTAGTCCAACCCCCTGCTCAAGCAGGAGACCTTCTACCAGAGGTGGGGGAACCATGACTCCTTTATGACTTGCGCCTTTTACTATTGATACCATTTTTGCTTGTCATTCTATTTGCAGGTTTTTTTTGTATTTTGTAATTTTATCATTCTTTCTCTTCTGTTCTGCAGCATCCAGGTGCTACAACATTCACTATCCAGACTTTCTGTCTTTCTTATTGACAGTTATTAATTCTGGGATGTTATGTGGCAGGTGCTTTACCTGTTGAATTCTAAAGTTATTATTGTTGGTTGCCCAATCAGCCAGATGTTTAGACCAAATTTAGCATTTTGTCTACCTGTGAATCCTTCCCAAGGCACTGTGATAGGCAGATGATGTTTTTTGATGGTATTAAAAATATCATCAGAGATTGTAAGCTGCTGTAAGTAAATCTGCCTTTTGCAATTGACTGATGGTGATGTTGTCATTATTTCTTTGTTTTCAATCTTTGTATATTTATGACGGGTAGACACCTTTTCTTCCAGTAGTACAGCTGCTTGCTCCTGTTGCTGGTTGGCAGTACTGGGCCGTGGCCCATTCGGAACTGGGCCACATAAGCAGCAGGCGAGCATGCTCACACGTGCAGCTCCATTTGCATAAATGAAGCTGTGCACACAGAACCATCCCCTCTTCCCCTCCACTCTCGCCTGTGCTGGTCCACAAAGCTGGAAAAGTTGGGGACCACTGCTGTAGCCCATTTGTCACTAGTTGTCCTGGAACACCAACACTGGCACAGTAATTATTATTTTTAAAGATAATTATTGATTTACAACTTTGAATCTCAAATTATTTTAAAGATTCTTAAAATGCCACAAAACATCTAAATTCATCCTGTGTAGCATATAACACAGCATTAATATGACCTGCACATAATTGTGAAATGCTTGGGTGTCCTCATTTAATCAATTTCCCCAAAGAGAAGAAGGAAGCTTATCATATTGGGTTCTGAAGCAGGTAACACAGTTTTGGAGTCACCAATGGAAGGATCGTTTTCGTATAAATTATTACATCATACCCAAACCTAGACTGATACTGTTGTCTGATGTCTGTCCTTCCAGCTTCAAGTCTCAGTACAGTCATTTAAGACTGTGATCCTTATAGCACATCTGATTAACAATACAGGTAGTCCTCGACTTAGAACAGTTTGTTTAGTGACCGTTCAACGTTACATCAGCACTGAACAGTGACTTAGGACCATTTTTCACAGTTACGACCTTTGCAACATCTCCATGGTCATGTGATCAAAATTCAGATGCTTGGCAGCTGATTCCTATTTATGATGGTTGCAGTGTCCCGGGGTCACTTGATCCTGTTTTGTGACCTTCTGACAGAAAGTCAATGAAGAAGCCAGATTCACTTAACAACTGGGTTACTAACTTATCAACTGCAGTGATTCACTTAACAATTGTGGCAAGAAAGGTCATAAAATGGGGCAAAACTCACTTAACAAATGTTTCACTTTACAACAGAAATTTGGGGGTCAATTGTGGTCGTAGGTCGAGGACTACCTGTAATACACTGAATGTTGTATAATTTAATTGCAACTGAACATGCATGGATTAACTGCATTCTTATTATTCTTCTATTGCACTTCTCTAAAGTGTCATTGTACACATTATAGAAATACAGGGAAACTTCTTGAACTTAATTAAAGGTAGCCCTCAACTTATGACCACAAATGAGTCCAAAATTTATGCTGCTAAGCAAGACATCTGTTAAGTGAGTTTTGCCCCATTTTATGAGCTTTCCTGTAGTTGTTAAATGAATAGTTATAGTTAGTAAGTAACACAGTTGTTAAATGAATTGGGCTCCCCCTTGCTTGTCAGAAGGTCACAAAAGGTGATCACATGACCTCAGGATACTGCAACCATCATAAATCTGAGTCAGTGGCTAAGCATCAGAAATTTGATCATGTGACCAAGGGGATGCTGCAACGTTTGTAAGCGTGACAAATGGTACAAAGTTACTTTTTTCAAGTGACGTAACTTTGAATGGTCACTGTTGTGAGTCCAGTACTACATGTACATAAGATCCATATCAATGCCTCAAACTTTACTGGTAAGAATGAACTACATTTTTATAATCTACTTCCATTTTCAAAAGGCTTGCTACCTTTTGAAAAAAAGAGGTGCTTTGTAATCTTTTTACTGTCTTATATTTCTCACTTTTCAGAACTGAAATGTCCTTTAACCAGATTAATGGTTGCTTCCCATTCAGATTCTGCAGAGGTGATTCACTCTCGGCTCAATGAACAAGAAGCCAGAGAGGAATTTTACGTTCACTATGTAGGATGCCATTTTGAGATTCTGATCTGTATAACGAAGAGAAAATTAGAGGTATCTGATCTAGTTCAGTCTTTCCTAATGTCACACCCAGCAGATAAACTGGGATGATAATTCCTTGAANGATCATCTGGTCCCAGGTTTCATGTTGGCAGCTCGATGTTCACACCGTCCAATTCTCCCCACAGGTTCCTAGGTTGAAACATGTGGGCCTTCCAGCTCTGGATCTTCTTCTGCAGCCTGATTGGGCCTCTGCAAGACGTTGTAAAAGAAAATTCCCCAGGAGCCATAGGAGTCATCAGCAGAGCAGCTGCAAACAAATGTAAGGAGGACTCTTGGCTTGATTTGCAGTGTCCGAGGAAAATCCTTGTTTTCTGCTTTTTTCCTGTCACAAAGGTGCTTTTTTCAAGAAGCAACTGGATTTTCTGGTTTGTTCTTTGAAGACGTTTTGCTTCTCATCCAAGAAGCTTCTTCAGCTCTGACTGGATGGGGGAAATAGAAGGATTTATACTCTTTGCAGAGAGCTGGTCATTTGCATCCTTTTAGAGGGTCATTGAAGCATTTACAGGTTTGTCTTTGTCCTCAGGGTCATGTGAGTGGTGCAAATGGGGATGGAGCCTTCTTCATGTCTGCACTGGCATTGTGCTATGTACCCCAAGGATAAAACACCCAGACACAAACCAAGCAACGTGGTATTGGCAGTACAATGCAATGAGACATGTGCAGATTGTAAACTGGGGAAACAAAACAGCCATTTTATAAATGCATGCCTCAACATAGGAGAACAAACCCACCAGATTCAACCGTCTATCTGCATTTAAAAGGAAAATGGCCACTCTTTCAAAGACTCTTTCCCTCCATTGTTTCTTGTCCTGCCCTCAGGTGCTTTGGAGAATAGCTTGATTTGCTCTTCTTTAGGGCAGTCCCTGAGTTATTGGAAGACAGCTATCATATCTCCCCTAATCTTTTCACGAGACTAGCCGGGTACCTGTTCTTCATATCATGTTTCCCTAAAAATAAAACTTCCCCAGACAGGCATTATTGCCAGTTTAGTGAGCAAAAAAATTAGGGGTTAGTGGGATGACGACGATGACGTCTATGGGGTCCTTGGTGCTCTCTGAATTTGGTTGCATTCTTGCAGACATTTCATTACCCAACTAGGTAACATCATCAGTGCTAGGGGATCCTCTGTGCTAGCTGATGATGTTATCGAGTTGGGTAAAGAAATGTCTGCAAGAAAACAGACCCACAAAGATCAGATTGGTAGCGTTTGATTATTTGCCCAGTGGTGCCATGATCTGCAGGACCCCTGCCCAATATTCCAATGATTCTTCAGCCAAGCTAAATCCAGATCTGACCCACCTGGCTGTGGGGCAGCTTCTTACTTGGGGCTGATCTTTTGCTCGAAAAACTCAGACTCTGAATTTCAAGCATGGCAGAGGGCACTGTTTCTTAATCTCAGCCATCTTATGAAGTGTGGACCTCAACTCCCAGGATTCTTCAGCCAGAATTCTGTTCCATTTTGAGTGCTGAACTCCACCCATCTTAGTTTCCAAGTTTGAAAAATGTTGATGTGGAGTATTAGCCTCTCTTCCTCTGCCTCCTTTTCAGATGTCAGGGTGTTTCTTCAGAATTTGCTGATAAAGTCTCACCTCCTGCTCATTCACAAGGACATCTCCCGCACAAAGGACATCTGGAGCACTGGGTCAAGGAGTAAGTAAACCAGAGGTGCCAACCTCATCTTTGTTCTTTTCTTTTTGGTGGGAGCTGAAGTGGAGCAGCTCCTTAAGGACTTGAAACTTCCTTGAGGCTGGTTATATCTGTTGTGCAACTTTAATTAATTATACAAAATTGTTGTCTCCCATGGATGGATGGATGGTGGATGGAGAATGATGGATAGATACATGGATGATGATGGATTGATGGAGGATGAAGGATGATGGAGGGAGGATGGTAGATTGGTGGATGGGTAGATCCATGAAGAATGGATGAATGAANTGTATCCTGAGAAGTCTAAAGCCTGTCATTTTCTGCAACACTATTGGTCTGCTTGTGAAAGCCCTGCTTGATTCATGCTATATTTTCTTTCTTTTCTCAGTGCTTCATGAAAACTGATTGCAAAAATGTCTTCCAAACCCTTTGGAAAATTTGAAAGCAAAAATAGTACCATGAGGAAGTGAATATCCCACAGAGACTTGTAATTAAAGTACATTATTATTATGGTTGGTCACATAATCAGATATTTAGACTAGATTTGGCATTTTATCAATCTATCAAGTTCTTATTATTAAATTTATTTGCCATCTATGTCAATTAAATAGGTTGAGGTGACTCTGAGAGGTATAGGTTTATCATGAATAACAGATATGTTATTAGGAAAAGCAGAAATTCAATATCACCCTCCCTCCCTCTCTTTCCCTCCCTCCCTCTCTTTCCTCAAAGAATTTAATTAAAGTGTTCATTTCTGTAACTTTTAAACATGTTTTATAATTCAAGAAGCCCATGAAAAATCCTTGCATTTATCTTTGAGCTTGTCCTTTCACTCCTGAAAGGAACATCTGAGAAAAGGTTGCCTTATTTTTGAATTTAGGTTTTTAAAAGTGTAAACCAGAAGCGTATCTTGACATGAAGGAGTTCTATTATTATTAGATCAGTAGTTATGGGAATATTGGTATCTTTTTATTTTTCAATCATATTAAAAAACCAATTATGAAAAACCAGATGGCACAGAAACCAAACCAAAAGGCACAGTGTAGAATGGAGATCATATAATTAAATTCATGGGAATGTTGCAAAAGAATAAATAAAAAAAGTTAAAGTTGACATTTTGGCCTGATATTGCAGCATTAAAAGAAATTCAAAGGAAGCTGTCATTTTATATATCTTTTTTCTATTTCATGTTCAAATACATAAACTTATAGTCAGTTTTACTTGCCCCACATTTTTTTATTATAATTCTTCGCTTCAAAATTCTGCTAGTGGAGTAAGTTTGATGATTTGGAAGAGTTTACAGTAGAGCATATTTTATGGTTATTGCTCTTGAGATGTGTCCAATATAAACCACTTCAAACAAGCTGTATTCTGCAGTTTAAATTCACTTTTGCAGAATAGATCCTTTCCGACTGGCTGAACTGGATTATCTGTGAGGAATGTTGTTTAACTTAGTCTATGTTGTATTTATTACAATTTTTCTTTCCCTCCTTTTAGAAGCACTTTGGAATGTACATAGGTCCACTTATGGTACTTATTTATCATTGCAACCATCCTGTGAGATAGTTGAGTAGTAGATAGTGACCTATTCCTTCAATAGAGTAACATTCCCTTTATAAAGGAAAATAATAAATGGTGATACTACCGGAAAAAAAAATAGGTGCTAGGTTTTTTTATTGGTTTTTTAATGGAGTACCCCATAGAAAAGGGTTCCTGGCCAAAATGCCAAGAGCCAAGAACAAAGGTTTAAGAAAGTTTTGTACATTTTCACTAAAGGAGAATGAGAGACAAGGTGGGATAATAAGAAATATTATCTAATAAACATTTTAATAATGATTCGACAATTTGTTCTATTGGTCCCTCCTCCTCCTCCTGCTCCTCCTGCTCCTGCTCCTGCTCCTCCTCTTCTTCTTTTGCTGCTGCTGCTCCTGCCGCCGCCACCGCCATATCTGTCATCGGACATTGGCAATCATGTTGGCAATCCTATTTTTATCAACAGCCATCACAAAAGTGGTGTTGACTTTTGTCCAAATCGGTCGTTAGATTTTGAAGCCATGATGTTCTTCTTTTGCCTGGACCCCATTTGCCTTCAATTTTTCCCTGCAAGATGAAGTGAAGTATAGCCATATTTTTACAGACTACAGAATAGTAGAGTTGGAAGGGACCTTGGAGGTCTTCTAGTCCAACCTCCTGTTCAAGCAGGAGAACATTACAAAATGAGAAAACAACAGAATTGTTGGAGGTACTCTAGCCAACCCCCCTATTCACTGGGTGTCGCATTCCATGTACGAAATATTCTAATTTGATAGTATTGTGTGTTTTCCCAGATTCATAGATTCCACGTTCTAATTCGTAGTTTTGGGTTTATCATGTTTCTAGCAGACCAGGAGATTCTTAGCACCCCTGCCCTATTTAAGGGGCATCCATACTTGGGGGCCATTCTTAGGTTTTGCTGCCATTTGCATGATTTCTCTGGGAAATAGATAACATAGTAGTCTTCCCTTTGCTTCCTACACGGCTCTGCACACATTTTCCAAGTGGCTGCCACCACACCATGTGCCATTTGCCAACCTTGGAGCCATCTTTGAACAACTTCAGGGTTTCCCATAGCTTCAACGAGCCTCGCTGTGGCAGCCCTGAAGATTTTCAAAGATCCCTGAGACTGTTCTTCTGAAGCCATTCTGACCATTGAGGCAGTGGTGGGTTCCAGATCCCGTCGCTGGTACGCTGCGCAAGAGGCCAGGCATCCTAGTCGGGCATGTGCACTGTGCAGGCATGCTCACGCCAACACCCTGTGACTCCCAACTGCCCAGCAGAGGTCGTGCAGGTGCCACACGCTGTGCGCGCGTGTGCAATTGGCCTAGTCGCATTACAAACAGCTATGGAACGCGGATGGGTGGGTGGGCCAAACAAGCCACCATACTGTGGCCGCTGCTCCTGGCTACAATCAGTATGGCTGTACTGGGCCGTACCACCCGGAACCCACCACTGCAATGAGATCTTCTCCACCTTCAGTTGATATTGGTGAGCCAACTGCCACTCACCAGGCTTGTTGGTCCCCAGGAGGTACTTGATTCCCTCTGACCCTCCATTACAGCATAAAAGCCATACTGGGTAGGGGGCCACGAATCTGCCACACAGGGATCCACTGTGGGGGTTCCAGGCTCCCCCTAAGAGACCCATTAATGAGATCTAGCTATCCCTATTCCCAAGCTTTGTCTTATGAATGCTCCAGGAGTTATCTAATACACATTCTATTTGCTCCAGGCATCCCCAGAGGGTGGTTCCTACTGGCTCAGACCAGTTCGGCCGAGTGGGTAGTAACTCTGCCCATGCATCCGAACTGGTTCTACAGTGCCACCATCTTGTTTTTTGCTTCTGCGCATGTGCAGAAGCAATTTTTTAAACTACTGTGCATGCATACACACACCTGAAGCACTTCCTTGAGTGAACTGACAGTAAAAGAATCCGGAACTCACCCCTGGTCATCTCTCTTCCTAACTTCTAGCTGAGGTCTGCACATTTTGTCTAACTCTTTCTTACTTTTATCAGCTTTCTAACCACCCAGAATTGGGTTTTACACATACATAGAGGTTGTATTCAGCCAGTTTGGATCGGTTCGGATGAACCAGTAGCGGAAATTTTGAGTAGTTTGGAGAACTACCTCTGGTTGGCCCTGCCCTCCTGCCCCCATCATATCCTGTCCTGTATTCTCATTTTTTTAGCTCAGCTGATTCATGCAGCAGCTCAGCTCAACAGAGCTGACACCAAGGGTGGTCTTTGAGTGTTGCATGTACATGTGAAATGCAAAGCGTGTTCTCATAGAACCGGTAGGGAAAGATTTGGAATCCCACCATTGCAGGTAAATATTTCCTGTGAATAAGCAGTTTTTGTTCTTGTCGGACAGATTCCATAATAGAACAGAACAGAACAGAACAGACAGGGTTAGAAGGGACCTTGGAGGTCTTCTAGTCCAACTCCCTGCTCAAGCAGGAAAGCCTACACCACTTCAGACAAATGGCTATCCAACATCTTCTTAAGGACTTCCAATGTTGGGGCATTCACAACTTCTGGAGGCAAGCTGTTCCACTGATTAATTGTTCTAACTGTCAGGTCTAAGTTGCTTCTCTCCTTGATTAGTTTCCACTCATTGCTTCTTGTCCTACCCTCAGGTGCCTTGGAGAATAGTTTGACTCCCTCTTCTTTGTGGCTGCCCCTGAGATATTGGAGCACTGCTGTCATGTCTTCCCGGGTCCTTCTTGTGTTTTAGCCTCCAGTCCCCTAATCATCTTTGTTGCTCTTCTCAACAGTCAGGCTTCCTGATTTACTTTCAAGTGTGTGCCATCACCTGGCTTTATTTTAGCAGACAGCCCATCAAAGAGAAGGACTAGGAGAGACTTGACCATCCCAGAGTATTGAAGCCTCATCCAGAACTCGGGATGGGAGATCATCTGGTCCCAGGTTTCATGTTGGCAGCTCGATGTTCACACCGTCCAATTCTCCCCACAGGTTCCCATGTTGAAACATGTGGGTTTTCCTGCTCTGGATCTTCTTCTGCAGCCTGATTGGGCCTTTGCAAGCCGGTGTAAAAGAAAATTCCCCAGGAGCCATAGGAGTCATCAGCAGAGCAGCTGCAAATCAGTGTAAAGAGGACTCTTGTCTTGATTTGCAACGTCCGAGGAAAACCCTTGTTTTCTGCTTTTTCCCTGTCCCAGAGGTGTTTTTTTCAAGAGGCAACTGGATTTTCTGGTTTCTCCTTGGAAGAGATTTCACTTCTCATCCAAGAAGCTTCTTCAGCTCTGGCTGGATGGGGGGGAAATGGAAGGATTTTTT